AATTCTCTCGACCATGGTGAGCTCTCTCGTCAACTTGATCTATCCGCTTAGTCATGTCTCGCCTCAATTCATCCAGGCCATTCATCACACCAGCGAACATATCACTTATGTCACCAGCTGCCCCCAGTGGCGGGGTTAGCCCCAGAGAAGACGAGGTCAACTGTGGCTGTAGCCTAGTACTTGATGACGCACCGCCCTTTTGCTTGTGCATTGACGTCATCAGTCTGTCAAACGTTGATGATGCTCCCATCGTTATCCCATCTGACATAGGCCTGGTCGGCGAGGCAGAAGATGCCTCCCTGCTCATGTCGTTCCTTGGGCACGGTGTGAAGTTCACATCCGGATGGGTTATCTCCGGGTAGTCATCACTGGAAGTCAAACCTACAGTTGGTTGTGACGCCATGCGTTCGTCGTACAAGGACTTCCAACTCTTCTTGGCCTTCGAGAACGTCTGCTCTTCACCCGGACTCATACTCGACATCATCGCGTTGTTACTCTGTTTGGCCAAGGATGAGTGTGCACTTGTCAGATGTGAAGGTTCCTTTCTCCATTTATAGCTCTTAGTCTCTGATTTGGACATTCCCCTGTACAACACTTCCTCCCGAGGTTCGACCTCGGGACGCTCCGAGGTCTCCTCTGTCCTCTCGACTTCCTCTCGCTCGAGGACCCCGTCTGGCTCAAAGTCGGGTCGAATGAGCGTTCGCTCCCCTTCGTCAAAGGGATCCACCGGCGTTTCGCTCGCAGGCTCGGCCTCGGCTCTCCGCCCTTGATTGCCATCAAGGTTTTTCTCGCTCCTTAGTCTCATTTCGATCACTGAAAGATCAGGTTGACCTTTAGTCGATTCGTCTTCAGCAAACGCGTCGGAAGCGCTGCTAAACGAGGTTTGGCTACGCCTAGTTCTAAATTTCCGCGTGCTTCCCTTGCTTAGCCTGGGAATTTTAGTAGTCGACCCTAACGAGTCCCTGCGCTGCATAGTTTTGTACAAAATGAAAGTATTCGTAATTTGATGGCAATGCAAACGTACCACAAACAAGATTTAGTTAAATCACTTAACGCTGCCTACTCGATTCCGTCAGTATCAAAATGTCTCTTAGATCTCTCACGACTAAATTAGTGACTCAGTTAAAGTTACACACAGGGTCTACCCAGTATTGATATAATGCTAACTCAACCCGGTTGTATAATATAACAGTATCACTAAGTTTCCACAAGATATAATCGACACACAAAACACAATCGATAATCAGATAAGAATATCCTACAGGTGACAGCGACCTTTTGTCAGTATCAATTTATCGCCACACAATTTATCAAGTCACTGCTTTGTTAAAATTAAACAATCTTCGATAAAAAGCAGTGATGATTCAGAAATAGATAAATAAAACTTAGTCTTAAAGAAAAAGACTTCCCCCAATCGGAACGATCCGAAAGAACGAAGCCCAGGACACAGTCTTCTCAAGTGGGTGTGTATTTGCCTAATACACCCACCGAGGTCTTCTTTTAGGTGTCCTGCGATTGCCCGAGCTGTCCTACTAAGTAGCTCAAGGCAACCTCTTGGTCGAAAATTCGTCAAATCTATGAAAAAGCTCTCCCACACTCGGACTGCTCCAAGTGCACGAGAGTAGGGAACAATTCTTCTTCTCAAGTGGGTGTGTATTTGCTTAATACACCCACCGAGGTCTTCCTTTATTTGTTCCCGGATTGCCCGAACTTTCCTATTAAGTAGCTCAAGGCAACCACTCAACCAAAATCACAATCAAAAAAAATCTTGTTCGGGTACTTCTAATACACCCAATATAGAATCCAAAGTTGATCACGAATTTCCGGGTCAGAATGGGTTCTTATGACCCTGATAAGCACGCCTAATATCCTAATATGATCCTAATTAAATGGATATTTTCCGTTTCCCAAATTGCCACAGAAGGTTTACTCAAGTCTCTTACAAGGAGGGTCGCTAGAAGGTTTAAGACACTCTGGAGGGTTACCTCGGAGGGTACCTCAATCACTCAAGTTACTTAGGAGGGTATCTTAATTACCCAAGTTACTTCGGAGGGTCCCCCTAAATTTACTAAGGAGGGTCAATAAGATGCTTAATACGCTCCGGAGGGTCACTTCGGAGGGTACCTCCAAAATTTTCAAATTTTCTGATCTCACTTTGAAGGTTCTCCTACTAGCTTCAAAAAGCGTCAAAATAAGCTAAGGGTTCTAGGGGGAGCTGTTTCAACTTCTTAGGGTGATCTCGTGGAAATTTTCCACTAAGGAGGGTTGCTAAAGGGCTTAGCTGACTCCGGAGGGTCACTTCGGAGGGTTCCCCCAAAATCAAGAAAAAGGGTTAAATCACCGCAGTAAAGCCTCTGAAAGCGGTCTACCTGACTTAAAACTAGGTTGGCTGACACGGTCAACCTTCCCAGTTGAATAAAAAGATGTTTTGATAAAATTTTCTGCCGCTCGGAGGGTTGCCCGTTACTTGGACCCTCCGAACCAACAAATTCTAAAAAATTTTACTTTTCCGAAATAATCAACCCAAAAACGGTTGCGATTCGGAAAAGTGGTCAAAAACGTCGACTTATGGTACCAAAATTATCCCGATCGGATAACTAGTCTTTGAGAAATCGCCAAAAACGCGTTCGTCAAAATGGCCTTTTTCACCACCTGTATAGGATCTGAAAGACTTTTTTCGCAATTCCGGTCGAAAGTGCCTAAAAATACTTGAAATGAGCGTAGTAGCCCTGTACGGCACTGGAATAATGCAAAAAACCGGACCAAAATTGGTTTAGAAACAAAAATTTGGCCAAAAACTATCAAATTTGGACCCTCCGATTCCTTCCTTTTCCAAACCTTAAGTCGTTAGCTCTATCCACGGAGCTACTCGGAGGGTTACCCAAAAATTTCTCTAGTAACCTAGCACGTTATGCTAGCACGCTCCTAACGCAAAAAATTTTATTGCTCTAACTCTAAAAACTCAAAAACTCGATCCCCAAAACAGATTGACAAAATACAGAAAATTATCAAAATTTTGGTCGAAAAATTCTCGTTTTTCTAACTTCCACTGAACCTTTGCTCACGCGGTTTCTTTAATAAAGGGGATCGAACTACGTGGCTACTCTCTATATAAAAGCTTTTTGCCTATCGGAAAAGCTCGGATATCCGAAAATTTGGGGGTCTATAGTTTGGTCGAAAATTGGTAATTTTCGACAAAAAATGGGTGTTTCTTGGGTCTAAATAGGAGATAAGTAATATGTAGTAAGGACAATAATCGATAAATAGTCGTTAATAAATAGTACTATACCCTCCTTTGCACCAAAATATCCGAATTAAGACCCTTAACTCGGAAATTTGTAATCGATGGAGGGTACAATCGGACCGCGCCAATCGTGCCCCCCACCACTTAAGTTTTAAGGAAATAGTACCCGAACGATACTAAAATTGCTTCAACGATACCCAACAGTCGTTGCGGATGTTGTCCTTGATGTCCCTGTTGAGTGTGGAACACGTTGATCAGCCTGCCACTCTACCCTCCGGTCACCGGCAAAATCACCATTAACGTGCTTAAACACTCAAATTACACTCGAGGGAGGGTACCCAACCCTTCACCAAAACACACAATCTCTCTATCAGAAACGATATAAATCAATCTGAAACAACAACAAATAGGAAGGTCAGATCACATCTCGTCCGGAAATAACATATAAACTGTCACTTTATGTTTTTTACTGTTTTTGGTCTTTTTTGGATTTTTTTACTGTTTTTTGTACTTTTTTGTTTTTAAATAAATTTGTTTTTGGCTTTTTCTTGGTTATACACTATTTTTGTTTGGTTTTACGCTTTCTCTTTAATTGTTTTTGATCCTGGGACCTCAGGACAAGCGGGCTCTAGATTTCCCACCTAACCCTCCGGCCCCCGGAATTTTCGGTGTTAACTAAGTTAAAAAGCTAAATTGCACTAGACGGAGGGTACGCACCTTCCCCCTAGTACAACAACGGTCATTAAGGCCTCTAACTCGCGCTTACGCCCGGAGCGGAGGGTACGTCGCTGAAACGCTTGCTGATCATGATGGTTTCATGCCTTTAACAGGCCCACCCAGGAGCGCCATAAAAACGTCTATGTAACATTCGCCCAAATATCACACAGCGACGGAGCGTAGAAAAAGTACCTATCAACGACTGGCAGGCGTCAGTTACCTTAATTCTACTCGTTTTTCACCGTCTCGACCTTGCCAGTTGATTTTCTGGTCTGTTTAGGGCAAAGTAAAAAGTTACCATTTTTAGGCCATCAGTCAAACGACTTTTGATCAGCTTTCGTTTGCATGCGAACACAACCACATAGCTGAGTCTCGGATCCTCAGACTACGTGATTGTCATTAAAAACACGGCTCGAACAACCTATTTTTATATGTTTTTGTGTGACAGTTTTATATTAAATCCATTGGAGATGGATTGACCCTTTCCTTTTTCTATCTACTCATGTCCTGAAATATCAAATAATATCGGTGTTTAATTCAGATCTAGGACATTACAGCAGCTGTTATAGTCAGTTTACACAGTCCCTTCACATATAACAGTCTCTGGGGGACCAAGCCTCCGCTCCCGTGATTTTCTTGAGATAACACTCTTATCTCCTATATTTCGTGTCCCGGGAGGGTTCCGTGGTATTTCTCTTCCCCCCACTGAAGCCTCCGTCTCCACAAATATCTGTCGCCAAGGTCCTTATCGTGTGTTCTTGCCACGATAAGAGGCTCCGTAATTTTTCTGTCTCTGATACAACCGTTCTTCACAATTTCTATCGTGGTTCTGATTTTCGTCTTTTTTATTCAAAATGGCCGTCTTTTTTCTATTTCTCAGAAATGTTCTTCTTCCGATCGAAATTTTAAAAATAAAAATTCTAGAACATTCTGACCCTCCGTCGCAACATTTTTCTGTTCATAAGGCCTTTAGTCACTTTTATTTCTGTCGCGGGAAGGTTATGCTGTGTCATCTGGCAGAATGGCACAATATGAAACTATTTAATAAGTTTATCACAACAATTAGGCTAATGAAGCCTCGTAACGAAGCCGAAGAAAAAAACGAAGACTCTTATCGTGATAACACGACACGATAAGACGCTTAACTGAATGAGAGGATACTGAAGGAAGTTCCAGTGGGATAAACGGAGCGGATGCGTACCCTCTCGTGCCACGAAATCAGGGAGATAAAAATGTTATCCCCGGGGAACACGGAATTGGAAGCCCGGTGCCCTAAAAACCGTTAGAGACTGTAGATACATATTTTAGCTACTGTAATGCCCTGAACGATTTAATTAACTCCAATATTGTTTAGTATTTCAGAGCATGAGTAGTCAGAGTCCAGAAAAGAGTTAATCCATCTCCAATGGATTTAGTATATAACTGTCACTAAAAACGTAGTAAGATATGGTTTTCTAGCCGTGTTTTCAGTACTAATCACGTAGTCTGGGGATCCGAGACCCAGCTATGTGGTTATTTTCGAATGTAAATAAAGCTGAGCAAAAGTCGTTTGGCTGATGGCCTAGAAATGGTTTTTTAAGTATCTGACGTCAAGCAGTCGTCAATAGGTACTTTTCTACGCTCCGTCACTGTAATGTATGGGCGAATGTTACACAGTTGTTGTAATTTGCCTTCTAAATTTGACTGCTCAGGCCTTTTTAGTTCCCGAAAAATGCCGTTGCTTATGATTTTTCAAAAATTTAACAATGGTGGGGTGCTGTCGAGTTACTCTCA